AAATTTAGCACACGTAAGTTCTGCCTTATGGATTTTGCATTTATAATTCAAATTCTTGTCATCAAATTACTGTCTCAGAGTGAATTACATGTAAAATATACATTGAATGAAATCCAAAATATAACTTTTTTTTATTACTGATTAAACTAGCTGTGAAATTAAATAGAAATTTTTAATCACTTTTTAGACTGTAATTTCATGCAGACACTTCTTTTGTCATCCTAAAAACCTGATAGTCTTTCCTCCCATGTATATATCTGAAGTCCTGAATACTAATAAGACCCATATGCAGACACAATGATGACGAACGCCTTAAGGCCAAATATAATAATTGCCTCTGTGTAATCCCATTGGCTTTAGTGGTCTTGCCAGGAATAGGAGCCTTTATTTTAGACGGAAAAAGTGAAACACAAAATAACCATAATCAGATCTAATTCAAGATGAATTTTGTAACACCAATAATGAAGCATTCCCATTTTTCTGTGTAGACCATGTGGCTTTAGGATTAAGAATGACCTGGTGTCCAAGGCATCAGCACAGTGCAAGAAAATACAAAGTATTGCTTGAAGAAGCCAGCTCTGGCAGCAGCAATTGCTACCACACTCACCTAGTGCCTTTCTCAGTAGCATCAGCAGAGATTTGCTAATTCAACGCTCATGATGTTCAAGTAGTTGATTTCTATCTTCTCCAACAGAAGTAATTTGGCAGTCTGCTGTCCCCAGCAACTGCATACTTTGCCTGAGCCTCAAGCACAGAGAGTCATAATCTAAATGATGATCATTACTATTGTGAAGGACCAAAACAAAATCTAGAGCTATAACTTGAAGTTCTGGAAAGACATAAATGAGTAAAGAGATGAGAAAACAAGACTGATATAAACTAAAGGTGATAATAAAAGACATCCACCTGTCAGAGAATCACAAATTCTATCTTAGCCTAAAATAGGATTAAAAAAAAAGTCGCAATATTGCTTTTGACAGCTCTGAAGACAATTCCAGTCTTATTTAAAATTGTAAGCATATGTAACATAAGTGGATGAAGAAAGAAAGAAAGAAAGAAAGAAAGAAAGAAAGAAAGAAAGAAAGAAAGAAAGAAAGAAAGAAAGAAAGAAAGAAAGAAAGAAAGAAAGAAAGAAAGAAAGAAAGAAAGAAAGAAAGAAAGAAAGAAAGAAAGAAAGAAAGAACTATCAGGAACTAACCATATTTTGCTCCAGTACAAAAAGTGTTTATTCAAATAGGAATGCACTTAAACTTCTGTGTACAGGAGGGCAAACATAAGGCTTTGGAAAGTCAAATATGATAGGAATGCTGGACTAAATCTGAGTCCTGTTATTTGGGGTTTTTTTTCCCACCAAAAATATGATGGCAAATATGATTAGAGCCATTTCCCCAGAGCCATCTTTTCCTGACAATACCAGGTTTAACTGCTAACTGCCAAGGTGTGGCAACACATTAGTAATACTTCTTTAGGCATATAGTCCTCAAAATTTACTTAAGGAACTTGAGAAGTATTTAAAATTCCAGTGAAAACTTTGTAACCACCATTTCAAAATCAGCTGCTCTCCTTGAGGCCAGGAAATGCCAAATACGGTTCTGCTGAGGAGCAGCCGTGCTCAGGAGAGCTGTCCTCGGGCTGTGGCGAGGGTGGCGCTGCAAGGACCAGCGCCACAAGAGGGCAGAGGACACGGCATCGGCCATGCAGGATGGGCTTCAGCTCCGGAGACACCCTCCCTCCGTGTTTCGGTCCTTGCAAAGTTAGAAACTGTACAGCTTTATAGATGAAACACATATCTCTATGGCATACTCCATTTCTCTAATCACAGTAGAGATGCATATTTATAATGAATTCAAACTTTCCCACTTGCATGCATGTTTTCCCAATCAAATGCAAATTCTTCCACATTACTTTGTGCTTGCTTGTTGTTAGCTGTCCAATTTTAATATATTTTCCTCTCACACTTCTTTGCTTTCTTGCTACAGAAAATTATCAAGCAATAAGCACAACGAGCATTAAGCACTCCAGGAGCAATAGATCATCTACAAGCCTGCAGGAGTGCAAATCACCACAACAAAAGATTTTCTGATGTCACCTATTGCTCCTGTAGTTATTACAACCCATCATTCTTGTGAATTCATTCCCTTCTAAAAATCACATCTCAGATCTTGTCTTTCAGCAGCAGTTATCTCTCTTTCACTGGAGTTATCTTGATCAGTTCTTAACCAAACAACCAAGGTGGATAAAAAGGGGGGGAAAAAGAGGACTATAATATACATTCATAATACTATAATCAACATCAAAGTTCAAGCTACCACTGGGACACAGAACAAAAAAATTTTCCCAGAATCATGGAGTTCTGGTGCCTTCAGTTTTCAGGCAAGCATAGTGCCACTCTCAAATTTAACATAAAGCTGGGGCTTCAGTGAAATTTGAATTCTTAAATGTATTTTTTTTCTTGTTTTCTTTCCAGACAGGCATCTAAAGCACTGGACTCTGGACCCTACTAGCCTGTAGTTGATCTTGTTTGCTACTAATTGTTCAATACTAGAAGCAAACGCTGATTGTTCCATAAAGTTTTATTGTGATTGTTCCATAAAGTTTTATTGTGATTATTTTCTGTTGCTGTTACAGATATATCAAAGTGATGTTTTTAATGTAAAAATGAGAATTATGTCACTGCTGGCCATTATGACTTAACAAGATGTTAGGTATTATAGAAAGTGTTAAAATAAGTATGTTCCTCTTCACTCTTTCTACTACTGTGTTTGGGAACGTTAATACATTTTCAGAGAAATATATGTTTTTCATAAAGACAAAGAGCAATAAGAGAAAAATTGAACTTGAAGGCTCATCCACTATCCAAAAGAAAAATATTCAAAAATACTTTAAGAGATTTTTTTTCTAATGTTTATCAGAGTCAAAAAAATGAGTTCTCCAAATATTATTACAAAAACATATATGGATGTTTTTCTTTTGATTCATACCTCTGTATATAGAGATTTTAACATTTGTTTCTGCAAATAAGCAATGCTCACTTCCTAAAATTGATTACATATCTGATTATATATCCCTTAATGTAGCCTAGGCTTTGTAATTAGTATACAGTCAATTAATATGAAGCCATCTTAATACAGTTTATGTATATATAAATTTTATTTTCAGACACCATTCACACTTGTGTAAATCCAGGATGATTCCGCTGAGATTAAATTAAATTAGTCCTGAAATGCACCCTCATACTCAAGAGACTGTGCCCCACCTCTGAGAAATATAGAGGATGACACACGGTAACAGTGACACAAAGGGCCACACCTCTGAAAAGCTCACAGGAATAGGGAAACACCTGTTTGTGCTGCGGAAGAACAGGTGGGAAGCGGTGGTTTGCCGGCTCAATATCCTGTGCTTGAGATTACAAAGAACGGTGCTCAGGTGCCTCTCTCTTTTTGCCCTATGAGTTTATTAAGAAGCCGTCGGTGCTTTGCACTACCCTAGAGATGCCTTTCCAGCATCGCATGGCTGCCCCCATCTCCCTCCCCGTGTCACCTCGCCGAGCCGTGCCGAACGCACACCGTTTTGCCTGCTGGGTAGGGCAGGAAGCCTTAATTACAGCCTGAAAATAATACCCGCTTCCCCCGGGAGCCTCCCTAGCTATTCCTGTGGGATGGGAGAAGCTGAGAGGAGCCAGGTGGGGGGAGGCTGGCGCTCCCCAGGCCTGAGCGCGGGCAGCGGCGCCTCCGTGCGCGCCGGCGAGGCGGCCCCAGCACCACGGCCAGCTCCGAGCGGCCGCCGCGCCCCGACGCGGCCCCGGCCCCGGGGCGGAGCGCGGTCCCGGGCAGCCGCTCAGCGGCGGGGCGGCCTCGGCACCCGCTCGGTGCCGCCGCGGGCCGGGCGAGGGCTCCGTGCCGAGCTCAGCGCCCGCACCCGCGGGACCCGGAGCGCCCTCCGCGCCGCTCGCTCGGCCCCGAACGGGGTCTGGCACCTGCTCGGCAGCCCGGGAGCGGCGTTCGGCGCCGGGGGAATCCCCTTTCCTCCCAAGAGGGGGTCGTGTGGCGAGGGGAAGCCCTCGCCTGGGTCACGCTGCGTAGGAGGCGGCAATCCCTTCCACCGGGGAGAGGAAGGATGCCGAGGGCTCCGGTGGTCCCTTCCCCCGCTCCCCCATCGCTCAACATCGACCCCTACTCGCGCCGCCCCCCGCCCCAGACGGGGCGTGTACCAGCTTCCCTCCCTCCCCCGGCCCTGCCAGCGCCTGGGGCTCCCCGGCGGGCCACGCTCAGGGGCCGCGAAGGGGCCGGCGGTGCCGGGAGGGCGGGGACGCCGGGGCTACCGGAGGTGGCGGGGCCCCCCTGCTGCCATCGCCCTCGGTCCCCGCTGACCCCTGCAGCCGCCGCGGTGGGGGATGTGGCACGTCGCGGTGCTGCTGGGGTGTAGCTTATTCCTGATGCCGCTGTTTGTCGCCGAGTTTTGAAGAGATTTATTGGCTGGCTCTTGCTAAACCACGCTTGAGTAATCCGAGCTGCTGCGCGCCGTGGTGAAGCCCGGAGGGGGGGAACGTCACTCCCTCTGGCAGCGGAGAAACATTAGTCTTCCAGCCCTCAAACCACCACTACAGCGTCGGAAACTGCCGGGTCACAGCCATTTGCTTTGGAAAATTGGCGATGTTTGGTGCTAGAGATCGATTACCCTTGTAATCTTTCCCCACCCGCCACCTCCTCCTGCTTACCCCACCCCTACCCGCCCCAGACAATAGCGTCCGAGCTCCTCCAGGAAAAAAATAGAAAAGAAAGCAAGGAGAGAAAGAAAGAAAAAGAAAGAAACTGGGGGATGAATCTGACTCCAATAGGAAAAGCGTGTCTCTAGAAGTGGTGCTAATGGGAAGAGATTTCCGAGCTCCAGAGGACGATGATTTGTCACAAAGGGTAGCTGGCTCGGTGCTTTGGGCTGGAGCCGTGTAGGAGATCCTTGGAGAAGTCATTGTGCACAGAAAACCGAAGACCTGTACAAACATGCCTGTTCGCAGAGGTCATGTGGCACCACAAAATACATTTTTGGGTACAATCATACGAAAATTTGAAGGGCAAAGTAAGTTCTCGCTTTCTATCTATTTTGCTATAGTAGTTTTATTCTGCTTGCGACTAAATGGACAGCAGCTCCAGACTATTTTTAAGTTTGTAGCTTGCAAAGAAAACCCCGGAGGTAAGGAGGGGATCCCTGGCAGAAGTAGCAATGTTTTTGATCTAGAATACAGATTACTAACTTGAATTATTGGCTAGCGGGCTTGTTTGGGTTTGGGTTTTTTGAGAGGGGGGTTGGGGCTATTTTCCCATCCTATTTCAAGGAATAGTTTTTATCGTTGATTGTATCCATATTGTACAGCTATAGAAGTTATATCTCTTACCTTCTTCTGAAGCAGTGAGATGGCTCTAAAAGCAGAATGTAGAATCCTGTTGTCTTTGCAATGTCTAAAAAATAGGCTAGATTTATTATTATGATTGTTAATGCTGTTAATAAGAATTGCATTTTCAAAATAAAGCAGAACTTCAGACTTTGATTTAGAGGAAACAGAAAATATGCAGAAGAGTTATTAAAGAGGAAATACTCTCTTACCTTGTTGTCATGACTGCCTTTAGATATAGCTGTCAAATTTCTCTCTTTTCTTTATGTAAGTCTAAAATATCTATCAAACCAGTGCAAATGCATCCTCAGGGAGAGTCTGTGAGATCTTTTCCAATGCAGCAGTTTACTACCTGTCGAGGAGGCTGAAGCTGAAGTGCTTTTTTTCCTGGCCAGAATTCTAGTTTCCTATTAGCTGTAAGAAAGATCACTTGATACTTAAAATGAATTTAATTTAGAAACAGTAGTTTGATATATGTACATTGATTTAAATATTTAGCATAATTTTAGTATCAGCCTGGTGTGAGCCCTTACAGGTAATTCCAGTTCATATACTTCCATATACTTAAACCCATAATAGCATGTGTAATATTTATATTTTTTGAGGAAAAAAATAAAGACAGTGCTACTCCTAATATATCTATATTAAGTTGGTGTTGCTACTCCAAGTTTTTATGTAGTGAAGTGTAGATTTTTTGACAGTAATAATGCACTAGCTGCTAAATAGGTAAGTGATAGTGAAAGTTCAACATGATTGAAAGATAACAGAAAAAGTAAGAATGAAATCTCCAGATATGTCGCTGTGTTCAAAGACAGACATATTTAAAATTTTGAAGACTTGCACTGTTTACTTGGTGTCATGTAAAAATATTTTATAAAGCGAGCAATCCCCTTGAGAATTTGAGTAGCTAAAAATTAATGTTATGAGCAGTAAGCGTATCACAGTCACGTTCATAATTACAATGGGAATAGTGTGTTTAAAAGGTAAACAGAAACGAACTAATAAGAGTTGAAAACTTTTGAACATGTCTTTGAGATGAGAGTTTGGGAAAGGAGGATGGATGGAAACAGAGAACTTCTGTGAAATTTGCAAAATGTTTCCAACATAACAATTGTTTCATATTTTTTTTGTTTTTAGGAACTTTTCTTCTGTTACATTCCAGATAGATTTATTAAAATACTATAAATTTATTGTCATTCGCCTCAATAAAACCCCTATAGAGTAGATTGAGATGGACCTTACATCAGGAAGCCCTTCCCTAAAGTAGAACCCCCTTCCCAAGGCTCTACTTTTCCCCAAAGGAAGCTGCTAACTTTTCAAGGACTTTCCTGGAGTTGTGACTGATGGGCCGGCACTCATCGCTTGGGCTTCAGTGAAGCCTGAAACAGACAAAATTTTGAAGTCAAAAGGAGATTTACAGAGACTTACATAGTGTGGTTTTATTTCCTTATAAAAGGAATTATATTTATCTTTAATGTATTCTAAATTAATTGAAGTTTCTTTAAAAGTTATGGATCAAATTGATCTTCATTAAATTACTGAAAATCTCTGTATTTCAGGCATTCTGTGAAAAGAAGGGTTGTTCAGCATTCATCTCTGCAATCGACCCTATAAGAAATGTTGAAAGAGCACTAAAAAATGCATCACTTTCTTTTATTGCAGATAAAAAATTCATCATTGCTAATGCTAGAGTGCAGAATTGTGCTATCATCTACTGCAATGATGGGTTCTGTGAGATGACTGGGTTCTCCAGGCCAGATGTCATGCAGAAACCTTGCACCTGTGATTTTCTTCATGGGCCAGAGACCAAAAGACATCATATTGCCCAAATTGCTCAAGCCCTGCTGGGGTCAGAGGAAAGGAAAGTAGAAGTCACCTATTATCACAAAGATGGTAAAGTCTGGTTTTATTTTCAAAACTTTTTGCATGTTTGGTTAGCAGTTGATCAGTAAAAGAAGTGTGTATGTTGTACTGGCCAGCCCCTTTGCTTTGTTGTAATTTCTCTGAAGTCCAGTGAAATACATTTGTGTGTGTCAGTAAGGAAATCTGCCCTGAGAGTAGTGGGTGTATGGAGTATGTCACTGCACACTCACCCTAGCAGCTGAATGAAGCCAGCACAGTGTTTGCAACTCTGGAACAGAAGTTCTTCTCTCAGTTGGTTTAAAGAAGATGTAAATCACTTAAAGTAATCAGCATAGAGGAAACGTACCTTGATTTAAATTCAATATTTTACCACAAAGTTAAAAGTAGAAAAAAACAGCCCATCAGAAAGAAAGCATTAGTTTATAAAGAAAGGGACAAGCCTTTTTCAGAGCTGAGATATTGTGAAGTACCTGCAATTGAACTACCAATATTGTCCTAGTATGGCCAGAGTAAAAACTTGGGTTTGCCTAGACTATGAACTATTCCCTGCTATTCAGTAAGAAGTCAATACATGCAGAATGGCTGAATCTGCTGATATTTTTTTCCTGTTAAGAGCAAAAAATTAATAAATGTATTTGCAGATTTTAAAATGCACACACATGAGAAGTAATTATGATACATAATAGTTATATGTAGAGTTTTGTTGTTGTTTTTTTTTTTTTTTTTAATTACCCAGAGTTATTTACAGAAACACCCATCTTTCAAATGAATTCAAATAATTGATAATTGTGGTGTACCTTATTTTGTCTCTTGCTGTGTACACTCTTGGGAGAAGGAAAAGGAAATTCATATTCAAATGCTGAGCTTAAATTAGTTCTGGAGAAGTGCCAGTGTGTTGTTTACATCAATTTTAGAATCACATGCAATGTGCTCTCTCATTTTAAAGTCACAGAGTTAAATCCTGTTCTCAATAATTCTGTTGTTATCTTGGAGAGACTTAAGGAATATTATTTTTAGCTTAGGCTGGTATAATTCAGATAGGACTCAGGCCAACCATTCTACCCACGCTACCAATATTTAAGCATACTCCTGGTAGCAGATTCTCAGTAGAGCCCTTTATTCTTAGATCTGGTTTGGTGATCGGGAGCAGATTTCAGTTAAGATTTTTTGTAGCTGTGCCTTGGACGTAGATTTCCCAGGAGAACTGACACTGTGTGTCTTTTACACATCTACCCTGTGTTTGTGTTAACTTGGCATGTGTTAAAAATAATATTGCAAAAGGAGAATGTTATTGCTAACTTTCACAGCCATCAGCCTGGAGCACTGTTTGGAGATGTGGTAGTTTAAAAGTCCTAAAGTCTCCCAAAACATTAGGAGGGATGAAAAGGCCTTTAAAAGTACTGCTTATCTGTCAATTACCAGAGGAAGATGATAGATAGATAGATAGATAGATAGATAGATAGATAGATAGATAGATGATAGATAGAATAGATCCTTTTCCAAAATGCTGAATTCTGAAATCATGCAACACACCATAATCTGTTTGAGACGTACCAAAGAAATACAGTCCATAAAAGTTGCCATATCTTTCATAAATAGTTTTGAACGCAGAGTTAGAGATTATTCATTGTAAACAATCTTATGCATAAGGGTTTTCAGTAACATCACTTCTATGAATAGTTACTTTAATTGCCTCTATATTTTACTTGTCTAAATTTAAGCATGTGGACTATGATCTGCTAAATTTAAGCAGGTGAATCAGGCAAAAATTTTCAAAATACAAGATAGGTCTGACACTCAAATGCATGGCTATCTGTCAGCTTGATTGTCTGTATATAAAGAGGTTTTTTTTGTTTTGATCCACATAATGTTCAATTTCTTTTCAAAATGTGATAGAAAGCCTTAAGTCTATGTGGTGTCATGAAATTGAAATTACCTGTATGATGAATGTAATGAATGTTAGTAAACATATCCTATATTTCTTCTAAATAACTCAAAAAGATAACATCTCACTTTTCATCTTCACTTTTTCAAATTTTCAAATTTGATTTTTCAATATATAGCATATATACATATACCTGTATATAACATAGTCTGTATATTGTAACAATATACAGAATAGTGATACCTAACAAGGACTTCCTCCAGGTTGTGAAACAAAGTAAATTTCAAGAGTTTTCTAAAAATGTGAGAGTTTAGTGCCTGGTTAGTGGCTTATTTTGCATTTGTGCTCTGAGTAGGAGACTTGAGGTCAATTTCAGCAATTTTCAATCTTCAGAGGTCAGAAATGTAACTTTCTAAATATGAGTAACCCAAGTTCCTCCAATGAACTATCCACTGCTTAAAAGTTTAATTTGATGTTTTATTTCATGGCAAGCCACTGTATAATATTTAACGTAATACTAAACATATGGAGGAGGAAGACACCTCAAGTAGCTGTGAATTGCTGGAGGTTCCACTGACCAGAGGTTCTGAAGACCATATTACATATTACACTCCTGACTAAAAGCCCAGTGAATTGCAAATAAAACCTTATTCCACATCACACTATCATTTACTCTCCATAAGCCACTGATTATATTAAAAATTATTCTAATATTTTGAAGTAAAGCAAATGTCAATGGGATCACTTTTAAAGCTAATCTGTCATCAGAATTCCAGCAATGCAGATATCAGAAAGGGAATCACTCTATAAATAATGCTTTTTCTTTTTGATTCTAAATACCACCTCATATAATTTTAAAATGTCACAGCTTTGAAGCTTAGCTCAAAAGAAAACTCTTGCTATAGAAAAATGGTATTGCACACACACACATGAATTAGGATTCTGATGTTCTCTACTGGTCTATAGTCCACTTTTCTAGATGAAAGTGCAGGATCTCGAGTTTTAAACATCGTGATGATGCAAGACTGAAAGCTGCTGTTTGTTCACTGCTTTAATTTTTGGCCAAATTACTCACTCAAAGAAGATGGGACAGAAGGATGGGAAAAAATATTGTAAGTTCATATTAAAAAAATGGCAATTACTTGAATCTACACTGCCTTAAACATGACAGACAAAAGATAGAGTGGTCAAAGGAGAAAAAAATTTTATGCATGATGGTTTTATAAATGAGTAACCTGGATGGACCCTGTTTCCCTTTTCACTGTGCAGTGTGGGGAGGGTGCAGAGAAGCATCAAATGCTTGTGATGGCTTTGTGTAATTGTTTGGGTGGCCCAGACTTGGGTGCCCAGCATGATCTGGGCACCCAGCAGGCCCTGTCCCAGCCACACCAGTGCTGCCTTCACAGCAGTTTTTGACATTTGCAGCTAAAATCCTTACTAGCTTTTCTCAGAGTACTTCTATCAGAGTGTAGCTTGCTTTTGGTTTGAATTTCTCCTCTCTCTTTTTCCTTTTAGAAAGGTATTAACACAATCTAAGCAAAGTTCTAGTCCTCTGTCCTCTTCAAGTAGTGCCACAATAGGCAATTACATAGCTACCGAAAGAATTATTACTGAGAAAAATCATTAATGGGAACAGACAGTGCCAAAACTAAAGGTCCAAATTTACAGGTTCTAATAGCACAAGTAGCTCCACAGTTGTCGCTGGATGTACTCCTGGGATTAAAGACACATAAAGTTTCTTTATTAATGTAAATATCCCTTTTTAAAAAGAGCAGTAGATAAATACAAGTCACAAGAAGTATTATTTTGAAACAGATTTTTTTTTTCCAAGGTTGCCCATTAGGCACTAGCATCTGCTTAATTTAAAAATTATACTTTGATATCAAAGCAGCAATATCATAAATTCCTTACTATCTCAAATTTTTTTTTCACTAATCTTATAGCTATATGATCTGAATTATACTTGAAGGCAAGATATTGTTTATACAGGATATCAGTTCTTATTTTAATAAAGTTATTTATGGTGAAAATATTTGACAGCTCTTCCTTTGAGGACTCCGTTTTGCAGTTTAAGTCATTATTGCATAAATCATTCTTGACAGATGTAAAATATTGCTTGAGGTGGTAAAGCTGTAAAACTTTTGAGATAAAAAGTATAATTATTTTGGGATTGAGAATGGATATATATAATAATCAGAAAATACTGTACCACACAGAATACATTTTTACTTTTTACTGTATGCTTTGTAGGTAATAATGAGATTTGTCTAAGCTTGCAGATGATATCTATTAAAGGAAGGTAGGATCATTTAAGCTCAGCTTAAATTTAAGCTTAGCCATCATATATTCTAGTGTTGAGAAGAACTAAGGTAGAGTATAGGTTTGAGCAAAGATAAGATCAAGCAATTTGCAGACTGTGTACAAACCTCATAAACTACTTGCTATTTACCAGTTTCAAAAAAACAATTTGCCACAACTGACTACAAATTAAACATACTTGCATTTTCAAAGCACATTTACAAACTAATATCTTAAGGCCTTTTCTGCTCTTTTTTTGAGGATAGGAGAATAAAAGTTGTGCAAACATGGTAATGAAATAAAGTGAAAATGGTATTAAGAGTTCTTAAGAAGAAAGATAAGGACTTCATTTAGAAACTCATCATCTAGACTTCAGCCAGCATAGGTGTTTTACTACCTATTTGTGTGAACCTACCAATCAATAAAAAACACAACTGAAAAGAAAGCTGCTTACGTGTGTGTCAAGTCCCCTTAGATTTGTTTTAGCATGAGGGTCAGTAACTGCAGTCTTGACCATAGTTTCAGTGCCTTATCCGGAGCTGTTGAGATAGGCCAATGAATCCAATCTCTCTGCTACCCTGCTGGTGTAGGACTCCTTGACAGAAGAAATACTATCTGACTGCATTTTGATAAAGGAAGTGTTTCCCCCCCAAAAAACCTGCCAAAACCCCTTTCTTAATCCGGGCTTTTTTTTCCAGGCATTCTTAAAATACCGCTTGGATGAAATCCAAACTGTTACTGAAAGTGTTGGACTTTTGGAAACAAATGAGGATATCCATTCTTGTGTCTGTAGTGCTGTGTTTCTACCTTAGGCTTTAATACTTGTCAAGAAAAAAACATCCCTTGC